AATAGCTGAATTACCAATATATCATACAAATAATACAACAAAATTTAATTCAAGAAGTTAAAATGTTTGTTTCCAAAAGCGATTTAAAATGTGACAACAGTGACGCCGAGCGAATTTTTGCACTCACGGTATTCCATATTCTAGTACATTCAATAATTGGGTTGTGTTTGTAGCACTCAAATTTGGAAAGGTTCATCGTTAAATTATTGGCTCCTCTTGCTAGTGGTGTGGTCATGCATCCCCGAGGCTTTAGTTACATTACTAGTTAGGTATGGCGGTGGAAATTATGAGTACATTTAAACATAAAAAATGCCTTTAATTAAAAAGAAAATGTTTATGTAATGGCAACCACTCTAGTTCTTTAAACCCTCGGAGTAAAATAATCTTTTTTTGAAAAACGGGTATAACCCACATGGCTGGATTATATATCCACTCAGAAAGTAAACGCCCGCCTTTGGAGAGGCCTAAAACACCTTTAATTCCATTATATGGATTATTCAAGTTCCAGGAAACACGTACATGACATTTGATGTTATATTTTGGATTTTGTGGGGGGGGGGCTGGTACTAGGCCTACATGTACATTGCAGCCACTTGACCACACTTATAAGCCGATCCCCACTTTGCCACATAAGCCCCCTCCCCCCAGTCAAGCTCCAGACATGATTTACCACCCATAGAATAGCCCTTCAACAAAGACGCCAGAGGCAATAAGGGCTGGGATTGTAACTGTCAGGGCGGCACAAGAACAGACACAGAGAGCTCGTTTACATGGTTGGGTCATGGTTCGCATAGGAATGCATGGGCTAGAGTGGAGTACCTGTCCGTCAAGGCTCCAAACTCACAAGCTGTTTATAGCAACGTTAAAGGACTCTGCAGTCTTGAAGCATATATATAAAGTGAGGATTTAAAAAAAATCAGCTTAATCGAACGACAAATCAAAATGTTATTGAAAAAACTAACTTTGAATATTGGGATTTTTTTTTACATCCCAATGGCTTTTCTGAGGGTTTAAAAGCTCGCTTGATGGAGTGTAATACCCTTGAAAAGATTAAACGTGCTGCATACCTTTGTAACATGATAAGTTTATCGTTGTGCATTTGATATCTATCCGACCATATTTGACACGTTTTGTGTTTGTGATTCTCTGGCAACTTCTCGGTCACTTTCTTTGCGCAGTTAGTAAAATATTCGTTAAAGACATTTGCAATATCGTCAGGCTTATCATATTTTTGACCTTCGTGATGGATCGAATTCGGTAAAGTGTTTTTTTTTTCTTCGAGAGTACCTCATTAATGCAATTCCATATCTGCTTTTTGCCATGTCACAAAGAATACCTCGAGTAATAAACAGGTTTTTGTTTAAGCATTAAACGAGTGGCTTGGTTTGTTAGTGAGCAGTGTGCTCTCCATAATCTTAATGCTCACACGGAATTTAACCCTCACATTGCTCACTCATTTTTGTGTTAAATGCAGATATTAAGTTTTGACTCTGAAATCCAGACTTATTTGTGTTTCTGTGCACGCCTGTCTGACGACATCAGCTCTTCAGAATCAAACTTCATTGGAAACTTGCCAAATGTTTCAATCCTGTTGGTAATTTGTCATTAATGAAAACCATCCACGTGACGGGCTTTGAACGAATAGAAACGGGTAATTGCCTATTACGTTCTGCTGATGATTGTAGCCCTGAAAAGCAATATAAGGGTGAGTCATTTTAGAAGAACAGTATATGTGCGTAAGAGATAGCGGATGCCGTTCCATACTGGTACCGTGAATTGGCAGCTCGGAGGCCAAGCTGGTCTAAGGAGAAGACTGTCGCTTGGTGTTTCACCATGTATCTTGTGTCAGCGTTTCTCATTTCTGTGACATGGATGGAGTGGATGCTTCAACTCTATGGTGCTCCCGAAAGTAAGTCGTTGAATATGTAAATACAATCATACTTTTCAATAAAACGAATATACATGAAATTGTACATGCGTTAATATTATTATTATTTCATTGTTGTTCGTGATTGCTTGTATTGTTACTAAAGAAAACAAGTTCCTATCAGTGCAATGGCAACTTAATTGCAAAACACGATACATACACACGCACACCTACAAAAATCGATCGTGACTGTCGGAGTCATCTTGGAACATGTTAACCTTTTCCACTTACTAAAACATTTGACCAGCAGCGAACATTTCAGTTGTTAATAACGTTACTTCATAATAGTTATGCAAACGGATTCTTTTCATTTATCAAATATTAATAAAAAATGGATCAGATCTGTTTGAAAAAAAAAAAGGTGACCTACAAATTGAAAAAATGTGGGTCCCGAAACAAAAAGCTGTCAAATTTTCAATTATCATCTGCAACACAATGTTCGACTTCGCAAAGGAAAGGCTGTTTCACCGTTTATTGGAGACGCTGTCAATTCCT